GTATCACTGTGTGCCTGTATGTTCTATTTATACTCTAATACTTCTTTTGCTCTATACACTCCCCTACTTGAATCTAAAACATATAAGGTCTGTGTCACAAATACCCAGCTGTTTTCTGACATCCTAACTTAAGCCTAGTTCTCATAAGTATGTTATTCTTCTATTTTTTTTATTTACCTATCTATCCTACATCTATCTTTTCTTTCCAATCCTCTCCTGTCCTTAATTTCCCTCTGTGTTTCGTTATGTCTAGTTCCCTTAGGTACGAATGTGAGCGTGAATGATTGTATGGGCTGTCGCATGCGTTGAGGGGGCTGGGAGTGCTCCCGGTGCTGCAGCGGCGTAGTTTCCCTGCTTCACTGGGGGCTGATGTGTGCCTCGCACTGCTGAGGCCTTCCTTGCGCATGACGACCGGGAATACCCCCTTCGGGCCCTGGCCAGGTATTACATCTTGGGTTGGAGTGTCGGAGCTCCAACTGTGTTGACGAGCGAGCATCCCCCGTGCGTGTTTCCCCGGGGGATAAAGAGCTAGCGTAGGGTCGGCGGAGTTCCGCCGAGTGAGGAGAGCCACGGGTGTACCCCCCTGCGTGCTGCCCGCTCCCTGATGTATAAGCGGTATAAAACATTACATTATGGAATTTTTCAAAAAACAAACTAACAAAACACAAGTCACCAAACCCACGCAAAAATCGAACAGTCCCACTGCTCACTTTGAGAAATCTCTCAGTGGCAACACAACTGCAATTGAGTATACCGATATCCACGCAAATGATAAATCTATCATAAATCCTTCAACCGAGGAAGATAGTGACTCGAGACTTACTAGAGACAAAGAGAAGAGTCAATTCGACATACCGGACATGTCCTCCTATGTTTTGGGACATACGCCTCGTCACTCCCTTACTCGTACTCCACCGTCTGGCAGTCGAGGTTTAACTGGCATAGCAGGCGACGAATCGTTCTCTAAGGCCCTTCCCGTATCCACTTCCTCCATTAAGCGCAAAAGGGCCCTTGCCTCGAAGAGTGCTGAAAAAGATGAAGCAAATGGTTCTAAATCCTCGCAAAACAGCAGTCGAGGAAAGAAGAAAACATATAAAAAGAGCGACCTCGAATATGACGACGCCAATATCTCCGACGTCGAAGGAGCGAGTAACATCTCTTCTGAATGTGACGACACTTCTTCAAATATAACTGGAGCACTTCTTGGCTGCGTAAAGAAGATAGAAGTCGTTCGCTCAACCTCCTCTAATTTAAAAGGAGGATACGTTAAAATATTAAAAGAAACCGAAGAAAAAATTAAGAAAACTTGCTCACAGTTAATTCATGAGTCTACTAAAGACCACAAGTGTAAAAAATCCGAAATTCTAACTAAAAAGAACCTGATACTTACCGATCGGATAAGACAACTTGAATCTCGACTCAAGTCGGTCGAACTCCAACTATCCACGCAATCATCCAAAACTTCCTATGATTTTGTTCCCCCTTCGGCGCCTTCCTCCCCTGCTCCGTTCATGGGTCCATCTGAATTAGAAAAAATAATAGATACCATAAACAAAAACATGGAAGTTAAGTTTATTAACTTCAAAAAAGAGATTGTGAGTCTCCTTGGAGAGAAACCACGGCAATCCTCCAATACACGTTCCAATTTACCTTCACCAAGCATACCTTCCACAACAACGAACCTGAGTATCCCTGCTCACACCCCGTTAGTAACGGTTAACTCCGATAAACCTCTAGATCAGTTACCGGAAAGCTGGGCCGAAGTTACGAAATCCAGAGGCAGGAGGAACCTTTCTCCGAAATTGAATACCCGGCGCACCACTACAACTGAAGCTGTCACACTTCCTAAAACTCCTCAACCTTCTCGCCTAATGAAGAAGCCGCGAAATGTAGAAGTCATCCATATCTCTACAAACAAAAATAGTAGCTTATCTCTTTGCGAAATCCTAACAAAGGCCAAAGAGAACATTAACTTACAAGAATTAGGTATAGACTCAATTAAGCCTCGCTCTGCGATGAATGGTGGCTTACTCCTTGAAATCCCTAAGAAGGGCAATGGCGAGTTGGGTCCCACGCTAATGAATAAAATCAGTTCCCTCTTCTCCTCAGGCGACGTTAATATTTCATGTCCTAAAAAGTATAAAGAACTTCTCATAACGAATCTGGATTTAGCCTCTTCCCACCAAGAAATTAATAACACGTTACGCACCATATGTGGAGATAATGAAAGCTTCATATTGGGCCCAGTTCGACCCAATGCAAGGGGAACAGCCACAGTCTGGTGCAAGTGTAATGAAACTGCAGCCTTCAAATTAATATCGAAACAATCTGCCTTGATTGGCTGGTCCACTGCTAGATTCTTACCCCTCGAGAACAGACCCATCCAATGTTTTAAGTGCTGGGATTTCGGGCACGTCCGAAATAACTGCACGTCAGAAATCGATATGATAGACTGGTGTTATAAATGCGGTCACCAAGGGCACCCATCCAGTACGTGCTCCTCATCAGAAGCTATCTGTAAAATATGTGAACGGAACAAATTTAAAAACGATCACAAGATGGGAACTGTAAGTTGCCAAAGCTTCCAGAACTTTAAAAAAAGTCTGAATAGCGCTCCTACCCGTTCCACCATCCCTTTATCGAACAAAATCCAGGGTAATCGCATCAGGGTGGAGGAACCTGCAACGACAAAGCGTTAACAAGTTTTACCT